TGACTTGGGACCCAAACTTCTGGGCACCTCCCCTGATATGGGATGAAGTCCTGTGTATTATCAGGTTTGGCCTGGCCTAGATACAATTTATGATGTGGTATCCCCCTTTTAAGGCCAAATTACATCCAATCAGAGAACCAGGTGTGAATCTTGATACAATTATGAAAAAGATATTCCTATTACTACAAGGTTCTTTTATATTATTTTTCAACAGACACGCCAACTGGCACCCCATGAAAATACCTTTTAAATGACAAACATTTTCCAAATTTCCATTTTTTCCCTCTTGTTTGTTGTATTAGTTCTGGGTTTCCATTGCTGTGAACAAACACAAAGACCACAGCAAGTCTTAAAAAGGAAAACATTTAATTGTGATAGCTCACAGAGATTTAGTTCCTTATCATCATGGTGGGAACTTAGGAAGCATGCAGGCATATATGGTGCTAGAGAAGGAGCTGAGCATTCTCATGTCTTGACTCATAGGCAACAGGAATTGGTCTGAGAAACTGTGTGTGGCTTGAACATATATAACATATAATCTAAGAATAAGAATATAAAAATGTAGATTCCAAAAATAAGAACATAGAAGTAAAGAAATATAAAGTTGTAAGCCTAGGAGAATGAGAGCAGACTGTCAGCAGCTTTCTCAGCAACTTAAGGATTGACTATTAACAGCGGGTTACTCCGCTTTATAACCCATAGCTCTATTTACAAAACTGAAGTGTCTCTGCAAACTGAGAGACTAACACGTCCACCCCCCCACACACCATCTTGATTAATGATAACAATAGATATGAGCTGCATTACGTTTAAGAAGATAGATAGGAATAAATAAGGACTGTCTCCTGGTAGTTGACTGGAAAAGTCAGTTGAGACAAACAAAAACAGGGGCCACAGCAAGTGTCCCAAAGAGCAGAGCTCTGGGGTCTCTGCTCTTGTCATCACGGGTTAATCCTTGACATGGCTTTCTGTGTTTGGCTGGAGTCAGTCCCCTCTTCACAGGAAATATAATAGACTCCCCTCATTCCAAGCCTTGATCTTTGTGTCCCCAATTCTGCCCCAGTTATTTTTTATTTATTTATTTTACTGATTTTTATTGAGGTCTACATTTTCTCTGCTCCCTTCCCTGCCTCACCTCTCCTCCCTTCAACCCTCCTCCAAGGTCCCCATGCTCCCAATTTACTCAGGAGATCTTGTCTTTTTATACTTTATATTTCCCATGTAGATTAGATCTATGTAAGTCTCTCTTAGTGTCCTCATTGTTGTCTAAGTTCTCTGGGGTTGTGGTTTGTAGGCTGGTTTTCTTTGCTTTATGTTTAAAAACCACCTATGAGTGAGTACATGTCATAATTGTCTTTCTGGGTCTGTTACCTCACTCAAAATAATGTTTTCTAGCTCCATCCATTTTTCTCCAAAATTCAAGATGTCATTATTATTTTCTGCTGTGTAGTACTCCAGGCTTGGGTACATTCGGACCCGCTGGGCATTAGAGGGATGTTTTGAAGCCATGCACACTCACACCACCCCTCAGCCAGAGATACTAAGTAGGACCTCTGGACTTACCTTGCATTCTCTATGCAAAGAACACCTTCCTCCAGTCTCTAATCTAAGTGGTACTCCCTTCCTCCTGGCAGGTGGGGTCCTTAAAAACTCGCCTTTGAATAGATGCAGGACAAGCCCCTTGAAGGTGCTGCTCTGGAGGTCAGATCTGCATAGAAAGCTGCAGTCCCTATGGTGGACAGGTGCCAGCGGCACAGGGACACATATAGAATTTCCACCGGGAAACCTGGTGAGCCTCCCAGTGTGGATCTTGGGAAACAAACTCAGATCTCCTGGAAGAGCAGCAAGTGCTGCTCCTCAGACCCAATTTGTTTTGTTTTGTTTGTGAAATGGGATTTCTGTGCAGTGCTGGGTGTCCTGGAACTCACTCTGTAGACTGGGCTGGCCTCAAACTCAGAGATTCACCTGCCTCTGCCTCCCATGTGCTTTAAAAGGGGTGCACTGGCAACTATCCTGCTTCTTGTTTTTCTTAACTACACTTTCTGTGTGTGTGGAGGGGGTAGGAGCATGTAGGGGTCAAAGACAACTTGGGAGAGTTGCTTCTTTCCTTGCGCCATAAGGGTCATGAGAACTGTACTCAGTAACAAAGTGTTGACAATGATCATTTTGTGGTGTTGGGGTTTAGTCCTGAGGATGGAGCCCAGACCCTCGCATATGCTAAGCCATCACAAGCAGATGTTTGTTTTCTGATGGCAGGGATAGAGCTTGGGCCCTCACAATGCCAAGTGAGCACCTTGCCACTGAGTGGTCCCAGCTTGGCAGTCTTGTTTGTGACCTCTGATAGGTTTGTTTACTGCCTAGTTTTATTAACATAGCCATGTCCTGAGGGTGACAGAGTCTTCGTGGAGACACCCACCGTTAGACGTAGTCCAAGATGTCTTGGCGCTCAACTTTGTCATCCCTGCTGTTGAAGTCCCAGGACCTCACATCCCTGTCTTTGACTGAACCTATTTTCTAGCCAGCATGGTAGCACACATGTCACCCCAGCAATTGAGGGGCAGAAGCTTCTCCTCAACAGTGTGAAGTCAGCCTGTGCATCACAGTCAGGTACTACCTCCATGTCCAGCTACAGCCACAAGCCAAGCATGCAAACATCCCTAGTCCTGGGAGGAAAGCTACATGGTACACCAGAAACCCAGTGAGACCCAGGCTGCTCCAATGGAGCAGCTGTGACTGAAGAGGAAAGGCTAGGAAGGCAGCAGCTGCTGCTGGTTTGCAGTGAGGGACAGGGCCCAGGAATGCTCAGAGGCACTGAGGTCTAGGGGCAGAAAGACCCAGCAGCAGGCCAGCCTGTCTCAGCCTGAATTGACCATTTAAGGAGGAAGGAGCCCTGAGTCTTGGGCCCAAGCTGCTCATGGCCCCATGACCTGGTCTGCTGTGGGCTGTTGGTTCAGGAGAAGGTCCATGTTGGGGTTCTGCTGTGATCAGAGGGTGCAGCAGAGCATCTGAAGGGCAGACAAGGAGCAAAGGCGAACAGACAAAGGTTGCAAAGATCTTTTAGTGCTGATACAAAGCAGAGCTGGGGGGGGGGGGGGCTAGAGAGATGGCTCAGTGGTTAAGAGTATTGCCTGCTCTTCCAAAGGTCCTGAGTTCAATTCCCAGCAACCACATGATGGCTCACAACCATCTGTAATGAGGTCTAGTGCCCTCTTCTGGCCTTCAGGCATACACACAGACAGAATATTGTATACATAATAAATAAATAAATTTTTTTAAAAAAAAAAAAGCAGAGCTGGGAAGTGAGGTACAGGTGAAGGGGAGCAGCAGGCCGTGTCTGTAGAGCTGGGGCAGTGCAAGGGGAGAGGTCCCAGAGCCCGGGGACCATCCAGGGGTTAAGCATAATGGGGCCAGAGGGTCTCCCAGAGGAGGGGGTTCTGTTCTTCCCAGGATAGTCTCCATCAGAGACTGAAATGCTGGGCCTAGGAGGTGAGGAAAAGGGGACAAGGGAGGGACTGTAGAGTGGTGGGAAAAGAGGGGCCATGGGTGAGGCTGTGATGGAGTTAGGTCTTGCTGGTCTATGCTGGGACAGGCTATAGGAATGAATCTTTTTTCTTCTGCTGATTTAAAGAATAAGAAAGCGGGGAAAGCAAGATCTCAGCATTCAGCCAGCCAAGCTTTACTAGGGGTATACTGGCTGGTTTTTTGTCAACTTGACAGAAACCAGAATCATCACAGAGAAAGAAAGCCAGTATGCAGCACCCCTCTGTGGCCTCTTCATCAGCTCCTGCTTTCCTGATGGCTCTGGTCCCACTGCTGCTCCACTCTCATGCTTCCCGCTGTGCAGCTTTGGAACATGTGTCATTTTTTGAGACCAAAACCAATTATTTTCTGGGACAAGTGGCTGACAGTGGCCATATTGGTACCTGGCCTTGCAGGTGCCTCTACTTGCCTCTGTCCTCCTGACTTATCCTTGACAAGCCAGCCTGGGACTACAGTACCTTAGCCCAGGGTAGACATGAATTTACTAACAGTCATCACATGAGCCTGACAGTAGACAATTTTTCACATGATATGACAATTAAACAGAATTGACAAGACATTGCTGCATGTTGGGTCACATGAGCCCTTATCAGTCCCAAAGGGTCGTAAACAAATGACCCAATGGCCGGAGGAGGAATTGGAGCATCCCCCATTTCCCTCGGGCTCTGAGATTAGAAGCATGTCTACTAGATCTTCTTGAATCCCCAGACTGTCCAGACACCAGATACAAGATAAAACCAGAAACCTATCAATTGGTTAAAAAAAAACAAACAAACAAAAAAAAAAAAAAACAGTAATAATAAAGTTTACCAGAGACCAGAGACTGGGGTGCTCCCCCAGAACCAAGTTTGTGCTTCCCTGTATGGGTCACCAAAATGTTAGGTCCACAGGGGGCTGTACAAAAAAAACCACAGAAGTCTAGTAAACCAGAAGCAAACTTTTATTCCAGGAAAAAATGAAAATGAAAAAAATAAGTAAACAAATCTCCTTGAGACCACAGCCAGATATGGACTTGTAAGACTGTGGCAAAACTGGTATCTGAACTCCTCCTTATAGTAAGAAGCAACAAGAATTAGGCAATAACAAAGGAATTTTTACAATTTTGAGATGAAACTTAGGCAATTGCCCTTCTTTACAATTTCCACTAACGGTTTCTTCAGTTAAACTAGTGTTTGTATTCAGCCCATTGTCTCTCTCTAGTACTTGTGGGTAGTGTTTAACAAAGCTCTGCATTCCCTTGATACTGCCACTTTCACATAGCAGGGAAGGCTATGGGACAATGTAAAACCCCTATGTCAAAAGCCACGTACATCCCATCATTTAAAAGTTAACTCAGCTCACATCAATTATGCTGGTCATTAGTGGCCAGGGGATTCTCTTAGGGCTAACTCAGTGTGTAGAGGGATGATTTCTCCTGCAAATGGAGAATATAACTGCCAAAACAGAATAGCACCTAACATCTACCTCGACTGTTTATACACATTTTCCATGGTCTTAAGCTTGACAACGACAGCATCAATCTTGGACATGATGCTGCCTATGGAGTGCTCCACACAGTCAACACGTCTTGCCAGTGCCTGGAACTCTTCATAGAAAACCCTGTTGGAGATGCTGTCCCTCCTCTGGAAGCTATGCCCATTGTCGTCATTATCATCCTTCTTAGAGTCATCCAGGGTTCTTGGGAAACTTCTGATGCTCGTGGGACATGGTAATGATCTATTTTCCAAGCCCAGAACCTCCCTCACTTCTGCACTGGGTAGTGTTTGAGTGCAATGTGGCATGAGGTTCTGGTCACTGGTTGTCTGGTTCACCAGGGAATTCTTACTGTTGATATATTTGTGTCCTTTCCTTTTGCTTTTATGTTCCTCCTTGATCCTGTGCTGCAGCCTCTGGACGTAATGCTGGACAGCCATGTAGATGAACCGGTACTGTGCCTCTTTCTGGACCATTCCTGGCCTCTGGGACCGCACCATCTGAATGGTTTTAAAAACATCGATGTCATGGTCAACACCTTTCTCTCTAATGATGTCAATAAGGATATCAATCACAATGAATGTTCCCGTCCTGCCAATTCCAGTATTGCAGTGAACTACAACAGGGCCTGCATCCATGATGCTCTCCTGCTTGTGGTGAACCTCCTCCAGGAAGTCCAGCACACCTCCAGGGTCACTGGGCACACCATGGTCGGGCCATGTCTGAAAGTGGCAATGCCAGACAGTTCTCTCTGTATTTCCTTGTCCAACCTTGGAGAGCTTGAGTTCTCTTAAAATGTAGTTATGAGCAGCACTTTCTTTGATGTTCCTAACACGTATGACCCCATAGTCTTTGAGTGCATACTCATCAGGCCAGTACTTGACACATTTGCTCTTCCCTCTCTCCACCTCCTTTGTGGTCATGCTGATGACTCGAGAGTTCTCCTGGAACACCATCCTCCAGAAATCATTCACTGTGTTCTGCAGGCAGCCTTGAGTGGCAATGTAGCTCTTTTGGGGTTTTAAATTGTGGCACTTGGCTTCAAATTCAGGCATGATGATGTTCGCATTGATGTAATCAGAAAAGGGCTCATTGGGATCACCATCGTGCAGGACAACCCTAGTGTGATCGAATGGCAGGATGTTTTTGTATCTATTTTTGTTTTTATTTTCTTGTCTCAGACCTTCTTTTTGGCTGTAGAGAAATTTGGATTCCTGTTTCTGTAGTGTCTCAAATTCTTCCCAAAAGCCCTGTTTGACCATACCTGCCGTCTCAGCTACTTTGCTTAGCTCTCGAACTCTGCTTTCAATTTCAGCAGCATTAATACGAGTTGTGTTGAGAGGCTGCTTGAGCTGCAGGACTATGCCAAGTGTTGCCACCATGGGGTTCTTCTTGTAATACTCCACCAGGTCTCTCAAAGAGTCAAAATACTCTCCTCCACCAACATTGTATTTCAGTTCCTGACATCGGATCATAACGTGGCTGACTTTGGACTTGCCATCATTGCTCTTCCATTTGTCATCACCTGTGACGACAGAGAGAACGAAGTCTCCGGGGTATCTCTGGCTTCCTCGAACAAGAAAGCTGCCATGCTTACCCTTCTCCATTAGCAGTTTCTCCGCTTCTTTTCCAGACAAGGGACCATGGAACCACCTTTCAGAGGTTGGGTCTGCACAATTCAGTGGGTACTTGAGCTCAACAACATCTCCGTTCTTTTCTTTTAGCTGCTCGTGATGTCCCATGTAGTACTGGAGCAGTTCAGCCAAGGTGGCAAACTTCTTCCCACCATAGAGGTCATAGTAGTCACCAGTGTTCTGAACGTTGATGTGATAGACGGCTCCATTTCTTCTAACAGACACAGTAAAATCTCCAGGGTTACTCTCACTAGGCCTTGTCAAAAAGCTGCCATCAACTCCTCTGGTTAGAAGGAGATTCTCAGCCTCCACACCACTGATGTTGGGGTGAAACCCTCTCTGAGATGCCATGTTCCCCTTGGCTCCAGCTCCACATAGACCTGCTGCTTGCTCAGGCTCCTTGGGACACTGTCACATGTGTGTTGGAGGGGCTAAGCAAAGCCCCGCTGAGGAGTCAACACATGTGCAGGGCAGGTAGAACTGGCCCACTCTACATACACAATCCCCCACCAGACCTGGACCCTGGATACTGGCTGTGCCCCACTAAGCTCACTCTGCTTCAGTCCTGGGCTTTGGCTCCTGCTCTGGTCTCACCACCGTGTCCACCTTAGGCAGACTGCCAGTGTGGAGGTGGGAGCTGGAACTAAGGGTGAGGTTTGTTTGTCCATCAGCACAACTGGTACCCCAAGGGGCAGGGCTCATGCCGCGCTCTTAACAGTCATCACCAAAAGCAGATCAGTCTCTTTGTCCCTGTCCTTCTCTACATAAGCTATGCAACAAACAGTCTTAGAGCTTTAAACAGAGTTTGTAGACCTCACCATAGCAAGTTATAAAACATCTGTGACCTTGAGAAGTTGCTGCCCATACAATAACCACAGACATATATAATTTGGGCATATCAAAAACATTTACATTGTAGCCAACACACAAGGTCAATGACAGAAATATTTATAAATGCACATATATTCACAATGACATCTCTGGTTATATGAACAAAACATACAACCCATACATAAAAACGCAACAAGAAAATAAAAGCCTTTGCTCTATATTTACATCTTTACTCTTGAGCCACTCACCACACTGTCTCTTTATTTTTATCTGAGCACTCACTTTTAATTTGTGGTGTCCATCACTTTACTCCTGTTCTCAAACCCCAGCAACATCCAGCGCCATTCGTCTTGAGCCAGCCGACTCGTCCATATGTTCCTGAAAAGTCAAATGTGGATTGAGGAAAGAAACTGACAAAAGACTGAAGACAGAGTCAGGAGATCGTTCCAATGAATACTGAATCTGCCTCAAGTTTATTTTTCATAGCCCTTTTATATCCCAAGCCAAAGGGGTAGGCAAAAGACTGTTTTTTAATCATTATATAAAGAACAAACAAGACTGATTACTTTCTTAATATTCAAAACATCTAACAGCAATGCCCTAGGTCAAACATCTTGCTATTTGGAGCAAAACATCCATTAGCAACACCTTAGACAATACATCCTGTTATTTGGGCAACATATAGAACAACTTTACCTGCAGCCAAACATCCTGTTGTTTGACCTTGAAGGAGCAAAAATATGCTCAAACTCTGACCTTTTGTCAAGATGGAGCAGAGCCACTTCATGGGCCTCCATTTACCCTGCCTTTGGGGACACATGATTCTGGGAGGGTGACTTTTTGAGTTTCAGACACTGTGGGGGACTCAGTATGCCCACTCCAGCATTCAAGAACCCTGGACTGGTGAATGGAAAGATATTCCCAGGCCCCTAAAGGCTCTGGGTTTAGGGACCTAAGGTTGTAAGCCTGCCCAGATATAGCTTCATTTCAGATTCACCCCTTCAAGGAACAGTCACTCACCATGGCCTTGCCTGGTACTCTTCCCATTATCCTAGACACTGGTTGTCTGGGTGCCCTCTATCCCTGCATCAGTGGACACAATAGTAGCCAGAACATGCTGCCTTCATTAGACTTCATTCTGAGCTGCAGCCTGGGACTTCCTGCCCTGTCAATGCCACCCCTGCTTCCAGAGCTTTGACAAAGAGAAGGCTATACCTTGAAGAAATAACCCTACAGCAGGGCTCCCACACCCACAGATTCACTAGGGTCAGCTTGCTCACCCTGGAGTGTATGGGAGGTTCATGTGTGTGCTTGGGAGGTCTGAGTATCCTACCCAGGTCTTTCTGTCTCTCCAAGATGCCTCACAACACTGGGGACAACAATGGAGAAGAGGATCCTGGGCTCCAGCTCTACTCCTACCCCTAGCACCTCCCAGCCCAGGAAACATCTGTGGACCAAGAGGCCATCTCCTGCTGCCTAGTCAAAAAAAAAAAAAAAAAAAAAACCTGTTTGGACAAGGGTCCAGCCCTCCACATCACCCTGACATGGGGCTCTGAGCCCTTTCTGAAGCTACCCACTACTTCTCTGTGACTGGTAGATTTTTGTTGTTGTTGTTGTTTTATATGAAACACCTGATGGTCTAATAAAGAGCTGAATGGCCAATACCAAGACAGAAGCAAGATTAGGCAGGGCTTTCAGGCACAAGGTATAAAAGGAGAAAGGAGAACAAGTCAGCCACCCAGCTACACAACAAGCTATGGGGAATGAAGCAATGAAAGGTATATATAAATAGATAAAGAGAAAAGCCCAGAGGCAAAAGGTTGTCGGGATAACGTAAGATTTTTAAAAAATGACTAGACAAACACAAGTCAAGCTAAACCTGGGCATTTAGAACTAAGAATAATCTTCCTCTGGGTGTGATTTATTTAGAAGTTGGGTAGAAACCCCCCCCCAAAAAAAGCCGAAGAAGTAAAATATCCCACAACAGGGGATCCTTGGAGCACTGGTCACTGGCCCTCAAAACTCGAAGTGTGACTTATGAGTGAGGTGGCCGAGAGGCAGAAGGCCTGTGAGCAGCCTTGGAATCCTAGACATTAGGGAGTTTTCACAGGCACTGCTCAGTGAAGACCCACTGTTCAGAAGAGGTAGTGCCTGTCACTACAGCACTTGGAGACTGAGGAAGGAGGACTACAATTCCTAGAACAGTCAGGGCTATGTAGTGATATACAACCCACAAAAAAATGGTAGGGAGAGCCAAGCAGTGGAGGCACATGCTTTTAATCCTAGCACTTGAGAGACAGAGACAGGTAGACCGTTGTAAGTTCAAGGCGAGTCTGGTCTAAAAGAACTAGTTACAGAACAACCAGGGCTGTTAAACAGAGAAACCTGTCTTGAACCCCCTCGAAAAAAAAAAATGGTGGAGAGAGGGTTCCTATGGAGAAGAAACTGTGCAAGCATAGAAATCTGAGTTCAAGTCCCCAGCACCTGGGTTTAAAAGCTGAGCATGACAGGGCACATCTGTAAACCCCAGCTGGCAAGTGGAGCTTGCCTTGGGGCTCCCTGTTCAGTGTGTATAGCCCATCAATGAGCTCCAGATTCAGAGAGGGATTCTGTCTCAAAAATAGGGTAGAGAGTGATAGAGGAAGACATAACATAGACCTCTCCTCCACATGCACACACAGAAAGCTTTCTGGAAAGAGGTGTGGAGAAGACCAAAAAAAAAAAAAAAGAAAAAAAGAAACAGAGGTTCAGAAAAGCAAGTATACATACACATCTGTGGGGATATAGCTCAGGGCCACATCACATGCTAAACACCCTAGGTTACATAGTCAGCAATGTAAAAAAAAATCTGCCTTCAAGGACCCTTCATCACTCTGTCCTTGTGTGGCAGGGAAAGCCTCAGAGTGTGTACTGGATTCTGGGAACAGTAGAATCCAGAACTGGTAGCCAAAATTTGGAAACATAATTCCAATTTGAGACTAAACTAACATGGCTATTTCCTGCTTCGCAAGCCCTAATCTAGCAGGATGTGTGTCAACAGGTCCTCAGGGTTAGTCCCTTCATGGGGAAAAGAAACCAAGGCCTGGAATGAGCAGCCCACGGTATGTGAGAGAAACAGACTTCATGGGGACAGCCAGGGCCTGGAGGTTTGGTAATTATGTGTCAAAATTGTGAGCCATTTACACTCAAGGCTTCCCTGTCTGGAGTTGAGGCCAGAACCACATACACAGGAAGATGTTTGGACCTCAATGCTTGTGACTGGGGTGGGAGTTGAGGAGGAGCGGATGGAGAGGAGAGGTGCCCATCAACAGTGTCTCTATGGGAATAGCTTTGTGACATTGGAAGGGAAGGTGCAGGGATGCCTATGAGTATCACCATGCCAACTCAGGTATAGGATGGTCCCAGGTTCCAGCCCTAATCAAGGAAGGACATTCAGGCACATCTACCGCATAGATGAAAACATTAATGCCTTCATGTTGAGTGAGCTAAGCCCATCACAGAGACTGTGGGATTTCTCATGTATGAGATACTGGAGACACCAAGGTCATTGGTGAAGACAAACAGTAGGACAGTTGTAGCAAGTCTTTTTACATACACCAGCTCCCAAACAAGGACACTGAGACTTGTTATTATGAAAGCTTAGCCTTATCTTAGGCTTATCCCACTAGCTCTTATAACTTAACCCATTTAATCTACACTCTGTCATGTGCTGCAGCCCGTGCAGCCTGGATGCCAAGACTGGCAGGGGGTGCCGGGATTGAGACATGGAGGCTTTTTTTCAGGTGGAAGAACAGCAACCTTTATTTTGCCCAGCAACATTTTATACCTCTACTCTGACCCACGGGCCAGAAAGAACACAAACATCCTTGTCAGTTACAGACCACAAGGAAGTTCTGCTGTCAGTCAGGGGGGGTGAGGGCAGCTAGATCACAACTGCCCCCATTTTATTTTATAATACCTGGGGAATAGCTTTCTAATAGTCCCTGTCTTAGGTGGCATCTTGCCCCTAAAGTATTGCCCATCCGTGGCTACCCAGACACATAGCTTTAAACCAAGTATCCCCAGGACCGACAGTACCAATGAGCCAGAACAGTGCTGCAGTCATCTAGCATGCACTAACTGGGTGATAAAATTAACAGCCCCCTCTCCTATGATGTTTGAGTTTGAGTTTCATAACAGTAGCAGAAGCATGCAATACAGTGCCAGGAGTAATGCACATAACATGATTAACTGTTGAAAAGTCTAAAGATAGTCCACTTGCTCCTGAACCAGAGCCACTTGTCATTTTGAATGTCCAAGGCATTGTTGACTCTTTCAGTCAGCTGGTTCACAGTCTAAAGAGCAATTATGGCAGCAGTATCTGCAGTGGCAGAGATAGCAATATTCCAAGGTATATTGCTTCTGCCAATCTTCTATGGTCCAGCACTTGTTGCCATATTTGCTGATACTCCTGACACTGCTGTAGCATCCCCCAGGCGGGCACTGACTGGGTCATGGCAACATGCCTTTCACCACAGCCA